AAACACTTACCTACCGCAAACTTTAAGCAAAGCCATATTCTGTTGTACGAATTCAGTCAAAACCCAACGGTTGCGAATTGCTGTGCAATGGAATACAGACTGTCGAGTGGAATCCAACAATATGAAAGAATAAGAAACACGAAAATAGAATTTGAAATTTCAATTTTATTTTAATGAAAAACGGAATGCCGCTCTACAGCTATCATCATACACCGCGTATGACTTGGCAAACCCTTATCACCTTTAATTTACAATATCCCTAAACAAAGTCATAAAATTTGCGTATCATATTTATGTAGGTCGACGTGATTAGGCATCCAAATTTAATTAGCAGTTTAAGGACGTCGAATTTGCTGCTAAACACGCGGGGAGGGTCGAAAGTAATAATACGTTAAAAGAGTGGTAGGTTGGTAAGGTTAATATGCATGTATTTTCCTGTGGAGCAGATGAAAAGTTGGAGAAGTTCGCTTTCGTTTTTCTTTAGAAATTCTTGTCCTTTTCGGTATTCAAATGATGCGTATCTCCGTGTTGAACTTTCAAAGTAATCTCGTTCGGTATTAAAACGGTTTTGGTAACATACCAGTAGTATTCTTTGTGTCGCAGTTGTGATTGTCACGCTTCATGTCAACGTAAGTAAACAGCTTGCAAATTTTGCTGTCCGGTTTAATTGGTTTTCGTTGTCAATTCGTATGAAACCATTCACATTAACAGAAATACATTTTTGTCTTGAGATTGTGTCGATCAAGTGCAGTCAGCAGTGAACAGAATGAGTGCTTGAATCGATCACACTCCTAAAGAAAGTATGGCCTACGGAGGGCACTAAAATTATACTCACCGCTTTTGAAATGGCCAGCGTAACTCAGAAACGAAAGTTGACTAAAATTCTCACAATTATTTATGTATGACAGGAATTTGGCAGCTTAACAGTTAGGAGCCACTTCTGCCGTTTCGAACTACTTCTAGAATCTAGTGGAACGGTACTAGAGTCCTGGAATTTTTTGCCGTAGGCAAGGAAGGAAGGTGTGCCAGACGGCATATTTACTCTATGCAGACGGCCATCAAATTTCGCTGTCTAAAAGGCCCCCCTCCTCTCTCTCGGCGAATTATTTCCTGAGATGATATTTTTGAAAGTGAAACGTGCACAACTTTTACATAAGACAACAATTGGTCTCAGATTTTGCATACGCATGCCTTTAGTGGTGCCAAGTTAAACATATTCTACCCTTCATGCGATTGAGACGTCTGCAAGAAATATATCAATTGGTGATGTTAAAACAAAAGCTATTTCGGTTAAAAAGATGCGCTTTATCTGCACAAGAATTGTGCACAATTTATACTTGTTTCTGATTACATAGTAAATGATCATTACTAACGTAATTTCTATAGCAATATTTTACCAATGAAGCTTGCTCTGATATTTTTTCCTGTGTTTAGGGCCAAGAATTGAGATAATCAAGGCTGAATGGCAAGTTTTTTGGGAATATTAATTTACACTATTTGGGATATGTAATGTAGTCCAAAATAATTTTCACATGGAGCAATACATCAATAAAATTAATTCACACGTTTGCTAGTATAGGTACCTACTCTTCAAAATGACGTTTCCGAATGAGTGAATTTATGTACTACTATAATTTTTGAACAAATTCCTAACACTTATGTATTGAACTTCCCATTCCAAAATAGGGGGAACGAAATTCAAGATTACTTCGTTTTTGATTTACGACAGAATAATAAAGAGAAACCGTCAACGTGACCATAAAAATCTCGGTAAAATTAATTGAAAGCAAGAGTGTGCACTTGAAGCGTAACAATAAAAAGTGTCGCTGTCATTGACCTGCCGAAATTCGGGAAATAATAAAATAAAATTCGAGATGGAGAAGAAGGAAAAAAGAAGCGAGCGGAGAACGAGCAAATAAAACCAGTATTTGCGTTAATTGCATTAAGGTGATAAGTTCTGCTGAAACGAACGTTAAAACCACATCCATCCTTCGCTCAAAGTTACAATGATAATAATAATAAGGGTGGTGGTCGTATGAGTGTGCGGAATATTCAGCATAATGTATTTGTCTGAAATTGTGTTTTGCTTTGGGTATGAATAATAATCGTGGAATGGGAACACGTGCGGTTGATGTGAAAATGTATGAAATATTCCTTTGAACGTCTGTGTGTGCACGACGTTAGGACGCTCCACGGGTAATGAATTAAAAATGGTTCGTTGGCACATAATTCCATCATGGCCGTGGAAACGTGTCAGATTTGTGAGGCTAATTTAGTATTTCATTGTAACTGGTCTATAGTATTGATACTGCTAACTGGCAGATATAGTAAATGCAATTAAACTCCCCATTCAAGTAACTAAATTTTATGGTATAGAATTATGATACGGTAATGCTAATGAGTACATGTTTCATGTCACATATCAAAGCATAAAACGTGAGGGATATAAAATAGCTCTTTTTTTAATGTCCTGCTAAAATGCCCAATAATACCTACTATTAATATTGTATTTAACATCTTAAATACAATACAACGATTTCAAACAGCAATGGTTGTTTCAACTGTATTTCCGTTACCAACCCTGTATAACTAGCATAATTAACTTTTATAGGCCAATCTACGGGTTACTATCTTGAAAACAGGCTATAATTATATCGGTATGCAAAATTCGTCCATCATCTTATACCTACCTACCTACTAAACTAGCTGGTATCCGTAGAAACGTTTGTACTTGATCATTTTTACCTTGCACACGATGTTGAATGTTCAGTAAATCATCTTTTCTTAAAAAAAATAATGTAGCGGGTATATTGTGTGTACGTAATTAGCGAATTTTCACAAAAGTGTGCTGTCAATAACGCATTAAATAATGGTCTGTGATTAATCGTTTCGGCTAACTTTGCATTGTAGGTTTTGTGTTGAATTCACAAGTAAAAAACGCTTTCCACGTAGATTATTGGCATAGACGTTTGTATACCGATGGAGACTCAAACGCGTCTCTTATATAATTTGCTGAGATTAATCCTTTAAATGCAACTGCTTCCCAGCGGTACTTTCTTTCTAGTAATTCAAGAGTCATGTGTATTGTGTACCCAACAAATAGCAATACCTATATGTAGGGGCGGTCTTGGAAATATTATTGTACCTACAATAAATATATGCACCATTTAACACAGAAAGACATAATTTACATTTAAGAGTACACGAAATTGAAAACAGTAATTTAACTAACTACGTTTTCCTTTGTGCTGGTTATTATGAATAAAATCGGATTAGGTACATTTAGCCTGCTTATGTTATGCTTATGCTTGTAGTTTTTGTACTAATCTTTTGTCAATATATCATATAATTAACTAAAGTTAATTGAAACGTTAAAACAAAGAAAGGTGCCCGCTATAATTAAGTAAGTATTATTGGAAGGAAATACACTATGAAAGTTTATAGTGGTTTGGTTTCATTGAATTTCTGTCTCAACTCCGTAATGAAGACGTTGCAATGCATTCCTTTACGGAGTTCAAGTGTAAAGCCAGTTAATTATTGGCTTGCCCCTACACGAATATATCTCTTACAAGCTTCTACATACATAACTGCTCTATCTATAGAAACCTCACAAAATCAAAAGATATACTTGGCATGCATTCGCCTAGAAAAGTGGCTAACGGATCTGTTATTTCAAGCCTTCAGTCCATACAAGACACATTTCTTGTACTTTTACCGACAATGGCGGGACGGCCCATAAATAATTTTCTTTTTCATTAAATCTCCTGGGCGTACCTACTGTTAGAAAACTTCCAGTAGGTACCTACCATCATTTCAGTTGGTACATAAAGTTACCGCGAAAGATTTTGCGTGGCTCTTTATTACCTTATCAGTGGCAGGTTTTTCAATGGGTGAGTCAACCTGACACTAATATGTTTCAGGTTGGGTCAGAATTCTCTAGACATGTCTAATGCTTTCAAATTTTCTTCAAGCTTTAGCACCCCCCAAAATTTATAAGCTAGGCCCATATGTTTGTCAGAACACTATTAGCGCAATTTTCTTGAATGTAAATAATGTATGAAAATATTTAAGTTATTCTATTTTGAATTTCCTTGTCTTTTTTATTACAAAAAATAACATATTGAAAAATAGATTGAAAAATAATTGATTTTAAAACATAATGGAAAAAGCGATGTAAGGTAGTATTGGATATCAGTACGACTAGGCAGGTATTTATTACTATCCAAGCAATATCGTATTATTTAGGTAAATGCAATAGTACCTATAGTATGTAAGCGATAAAGGCTGCAGAAATCAGGTACGTATCTTACTCTATAGTCTATATACCAACACATTCATAAACTGTGAATATATTTCACCAACCAAGTGAATTTAATTGAATATTTTGAGAAATGCGAAAAATGCGGCCCTGAGGCGCTACTGGACAACCACGGCCAATTCGCTACGAAACCCGGTTTACCGCAGACCAACTCCCCACGCCACGGTCTGATTCGCCGCGAGAAACTGTTGAAAAACAATTATGTGTTTTAGGACGAGTTGTACAAAGGCTGGTTAAACCTCGTTTGGAATTAACCAGTGGATCAAGGTATAAGATTGGTTGAAGTTTGACGTTTTGCCTATATTAGAGATTGCTGCCAGTTTCGCTAGGAGGTCTAAAACAATCCCAATTAAAATAAAATTTTTGTGCATGTTCTTAGATATAGCTAGAACAAAGGCTTTAAAACTTCAAATTACATTCATCAGGTAATTAATGACATGTATGTCTTAGTGTCTCGTGGATTTGGTTATTGAAATAGAGGTTTTTATACCATTTTCGTACTCTTCTCTAAAGAATGTAGAAAATTGTTTTATATTGTTTTTGTCGTCTATTGGTATACTTCAGAAAAAATCCATTTCATAGGTACTACTCGCTAAAACTTGTACTAAATTAGATCTAAGTATAGCCATGAACTTACACTATGGTATAGCATAGTTGATACTAACAATATGTTTTGTTTCAGAAGGATACCTTGCATGCGGACTTCACCATTCACAAGTAAGTAACGATAATTTTTGTAGCGACGAATACAAATGCGACACTTGCTCTACAAATGACTATTTCATTTCAAGCAACATTAATATACATTTCACGTAACAATACAAGCGAAAGCTAACATTTTAAGTTAATATAGCGCATTTTACACTTGGTAAAGAGAAACGTTGTATAAATGCAAAAATGACACAAATGCAGAAATGTGGAAGGTAAATCAAATTTAATTTGCAAATTCATCGAATGAAACTTCATTAGCTCTGCTATACATACAATAGGTAATACATGGTGGAGTAGGGGGCAGGTCTATGATTTAGATTTTTAACTACCCATCTTCGGCTAAATAAAAACGAAAAAGTATAGAAAGATCTCTGGAAAGATCATAAAGGAATAATTTTGAAAAGTACATAAAAAGGCCCGGAAAAAATTGAATGAAAAGGGTAAACATTTTTTTTATTTTGAATGCCGCATAAACACTTAACTTTATATAGAAGTTCCTAAAAAGTCCGAGTTTTATATTATACCGTGTATTTCCATTGCGGACGGCTATTGCATATAAATGTAAAAATCAATAATTGGGTGAAAAATTCTGCAAACTTATTTTTGTTCCGTATACCGATATTTCGACACGTTCCATCTTGTACAACTGTAATATATATGTTCAGAAAAAGAGGTCGCTAATTTACTCTGTCTGCCTGCCGCTTTTGGTCTCTTCCGGTATGCTTTGGCAATAACGCAACTCGCCGCCGCCGTAGTATAAACGAAATGGGGTAATTATCTGAATCCTATACGGCATCGATTGCAATAAATGTAAGTGTATACGGACCCAGAATAGCACCGCGGTTGTGCGCGAACTGTATGAATTTTAATATTGTGTGCTTTATACAAATATTACACCAACTCCTGCATAATTAAGCGGTTTTGTTTTCATTTCGGTTACACTGTTTACAAAGACGCAATAACTGTTTAAATCTGTAACGACGTCTGCTATATTTTATGATCCACGGTGTGCTACAAGCTTAAATGGGATGGGGTTAATATTTATATGTTGGACACTGTTGAATATGTCGTGTCACACTTAATTGATATATTATGATTGGTAAAAGGGGGCAATTGTCAGGCACTAAAAATGTCTAAGAATGTTAGAAGGGCGTCATTCTTGATTTCCATATGCAAAATAAACCCTTTTTTTCACTACTAGCGTCTGATGACATGATTATTAACCTTTTTTCCACTTGTAAAGTAGGCTTTCTCGGCATTTGTTCAAAGTGTTACTCTCAAGAAGTACTAAAGGGTAATGGGTAGTAATAGGATTAACTTTTACTTTTCTTAAATTAAGAGCGTAGTCCATCTCAACATATTGGCTCACTGGATTAAAATCCGACGTTTTTCCAAGGCGCAGCGGAAAGTAGAAGAAAAAGGTGATATATAAATCTATTTTAACGAGAATATACATTTTAAAGATTTTTATACGTATGTATAAGTTGGAAAGTGAATGAATAAGATGAAACGAAAGCTTCTATTTCACGTTGAAAGCCTGATAGAATTAGGGAAAGTAAGATTGGTAGACTGCACTCGAGGGACATCCCGTTGCTCTTGCCTCTCTCGAGTTGAAAACTTACTATAAAACTAGACAAATTTATCATCGAAAAGTTTATTATATGAAAAACGCCCAGGATTACATTTGGCTTACAACGCGCACATTTTTATGAGATGTCACTTTTAATTTATATTTTATGGAAATCCGTTTCAAGCATTCAGCTAGCAAAAAATTTCAAATCTTGCTAACCCGATGTAAAAATGTTAAATGACATGGTAATCCTCTGTTTCTTTCGTGTCAAACCAAACTTCACAAAACTGCGTCGACGTCTTGTCTGTAATTCACAATTATGTTTTGAACATACCTCACCTAATGTCCACTGAGTAGGTACTGAGTTTCACTTGCAAAATTCAAGATTTTGAAACGTGACAGCAAGAAGAGGTACCTACGCTAAATTTTCAGATGAAGAAGTACTAGCTGTTGCCTCCATGTGCACGAGTTGTAGATATAGGTACACTTTACAAACACAACGGAAGAAATCGCTCATTTTTGTAGTTACTTTTGTCGCAGTGACTGCTACCCCGTGCCCACGGAACTATAGTCCTCCAACTCTCGTTCCGTGCGCACGGAACAGCAGTTGATATATTAACTCCCCGTGCTGTTAATCTGAGTTATGTGATTAAATACGAAGTTTCGCATATTGGGCACTCTAATTATTTTTTCATAAGATACGTATAAAATTAACTTTACATCAAATTAACATTATTTATTGAGAATACATTATTATTATAAGAAACTTTACAGAGTTAAACCAAATCGAAATAAATAAAAAATGAAAAATAAAATTCAGTTGTTGGATGGACCTGATGCTTTACGCCTTTTTCTTTTTGTACCAATGACTGTTAACTCTGAACCCTTCGGTCTTCCACATTTAACCATTTTTGGAGGTATTTGTATTTCACGTAACACTGGAATAAACAATCTTAAAAAAATACAATATAGTAATAATTGTGTTTACCATATTTCTTGCTAGTTCCTATATTATCATGTTTGTTGCTGATGTTCGATTCTAAAATTTTTCCCACTCCATCTGAAATTTCTAGATTTTTTGATATCGTTTCTTCTGCTACTATTTCTGCTTCCCCTTTGCTGTCATTTTTCTGGAATACATAGTACTCGTAGTTGCGTTTATTACCATCCAAAACACTTCCTGTTACTGGTAGCATTTCTCTTTCTATCAATTCTACTTGTTTTGCGAGTTGTAAATCTTCTGGTTCTGATATAATCTCTGCTTCTAATATTTCTGTTCCTTCTGGTAATATTTCTGCTTCATGTCTTAGTACTTCCGAGTCAATTTCTTGAGATGGACAGTTGTGCGTATTATCACCCAATAAACTAATTGGTATTTCTTCTTCTGTTAATACAGTACCTGACGTTTCTGATTCTCCTGGCAGTTCTAAATCTAATGATATATCTGCCGCCTCTGTTAATATTTTGGAGTTAGTTCCGTGTAATTCGTAGTGGTTATCGTCCAAAACACATATTTCCGTATTATTTGATGAATTGTGATCATTACTTTTCTCATCAATCACTTCAACAATTAAAACTTTTTTCTTGCTTTGATAAAAAGACTTTAACAGTTTCATTTGATCCATAATTTCTCGGTATCTTTTATTCCCATATTGTGATATAGTAACAGCTAAGGAATTGCATAATTTGGAAGCCTCTCTAAATTTCTGGTGCTGATTTAAAACTGGCTTGCTTATGGTATGTTCAGTTAGTAGTTCATGGTTTGAATCATAAATGGGTAGGTCTTTCATAGTTGCTCGATGGTTTTCAAGGTAATACTTCACAAGCCATCTTTCATTTACCAACAATTCATCATATAATTCAGCATTGGAATGTCTTCTAACTGCTAAAATATGACGACAAGGTAACTTCATTTGGTTTCGAAAGCGACAAGAACAGTTGTCAACTGTAACACTTATTAATCCTTCTCTGTCTGAGTTGTAACTAAAAGTTTGATCATTTTCCTTCTTTATTTTTATAATTGTTGTAGGCAAAGATTTAAACTGCTTTTCAAGATGCGACCACGCAAATGCTGTTATCAATTTCATATATCGGTATTCGGTGGAAGAAGTTTGATAGTGAGTAACGGGGGTTTTGTACAGCAAAAGTTGGGCACTATGATCCCGGTCTATTCTCAAGGACTGTAACACTGTTTTGAAATCGGTATAAAATTGGCATAATGAACTATGTCTGTCAACACCCGATTTAATTTTTTGATTGATGCTCTCCAAACGATTCGTAGTGCTATTATTTAGAGTAAAACATGAACTCTTTAAACCTTCTACCCATTCATTTTTTATGTTATGCCAGTTTTCATCATAATACTTTAAAACATTTTTAACATCAAGTTTCTGTAATTCCTCGTAGTTAATATTATATTCTTTAAGAGTTGCCGAGTAAGCTATTTTTTGTATTACTTGAAGACACTTTTCTCTCGTTTCTTTTTTTATGGCCATCCTTTCAATAGTAATCTCCCTTCTAAATGTCCGAAGTGTATGAAAAAGACAAAGTAAAACGTCTGCGTGTGGAAATTCGTTCTTAAAAATATTTCTCTCTGTCATGTCTTTATCGGTTAATATTGTCACTGTCTTAACCCATGCCTCATTCTTGTATTTAAACGTTTTATATTCTTTTATTTCTTGCTCCAACTGTTCCAATGTTGCAAATAACGCACCCTCCTTCATTTTATTATTGAAACAATATCGTGCTTCTAACCCAAAACAACCTAACCTATCTTAAATCACAGCTGATGTCTGAGCATAGTACGCACGGGGTGCTAGAATACCCACTGCTGCTCCGTGCGCACGGAGCAAGAGTTAGAGGACTATAGTTCCATGCGCACGGGGTAGCAGTCACTGCGTATTTTTGTTGTCATTCCTGTTAAAACGTAAATTGTGCCTCCTAAAGCTTTATTTTTCTTCGATTTCCCTTCAAAGCGTCACGAAACGGCACTAATGTGACACAAGAGGAAAGCCTTATTATAAGAAGCCTTTAAAATTGAAGTGGACATCTTTATTTGAAACATCTTTCAAATTAACTCCCTTTCGAACCGAATTCTTTATACACAAAGAAACGAACGATACGGAGAGGTATTTAAGCTAATCCTTGTTATTCAGTCTCTCGATATTTAAATATTGCACAATAAGGTGAATGGCGCGCTTTGATCTTTTATACATGGGCGAACTGAAGTTTCCCGAGACCCACAAAGAAGGGCCACCGGCAATGTAATTTTAGTCGTAACCGAAAACGAATTGCGGAATGGTAAACAATTTCGTGTTTTAATGAAAATGTCTTAAGTTGATATCGCGCCCATGTTTTCTAAATAAATCCTTTTTGTAAGTTAGTAAGGGAAGAAACATTCCCTCAGGCACTTACATCTATTTTACGGCACAAAGAAATGGAGACGAGATACATACGAGATGGTCGTTATAAAAATGCGTCTCGAATACCCCGTGAGAGGTTTGTGTGTGCATTCATGCATTTCCTGAGGGATTATCCGTATAGAAACAGAACTTCGCTAGCGACGTTGGTCTCGTCGTTTTCCACTACTACCTGATTTTTCTGCCAAACTTTATGCTACTACTTCCCTTTATGGCATTCAATCGAGCCAGAAACATCCCCTAACCCTTTTTTTATGGTATTCCACATCACCTCGGGTGAAAGTTTCACGAAACGCTCGCGTACCTAATGATTTAATGTTCTGCGGAAACTACTAATTGAAATACTCTTGATTAACGAATTGTGCCTACCTTCCTTTAACCCTTGAACAATAACTGGAAACCTGTCGTATTTTGCATAATATCTAAACGAAGCTCCGAATTCGTAGTTAAAGCTCTCGACTCGAGATTTCGAGATCTTTGGCTTGAATCCCTGCTCTCAGGAATATAAGATGCGGTAGTCATTTCGGCTACTATAAAATAATTTAAAAGAACTTTACGAGGTCGGGCTTCTCACTTATCCCCATTGGCCATAGAACCGAAAGAATTGGAATGGTAAAGTTATTCGCGGTTTTTAATATTGGCTGCGGTCGAACTTTCACTTCAAGGGCTTCATTTTAATGTTTTTATAACAACACTAATCGCCATTCTGGTAGCACTATCTTTGTCACTTCTCATTTCACTTTAGCAGTTGGTTTCATGCAAGATATTTGCAAGGCCTGAAGCATGCCAATTATAATCTTCTAAGTTAACTACATATTTCAGGGCCCATCAGGGGGTTCTTTCTTTCAAAATTGAAAAAAATTACTACATGTCACCGTGCTACATGTAAAACAAAATTAGTATACTTAGTAGAAAACGAGAAGACAATCGCAGGATTGGCGATAGATCATTTAATGTAATGTACTAATGTAATGATCACGAAAACGAAAATATTTGGCGTACGATTAAAGCTACAACCCATGCAATCGAGCTGTGCTGTGAATTTTCTAAAACACAATGTTTATCCGAAGTACAATTTTATTTTTAGACGGGGCGGTGGTTGGAGGGTAGGTTATAAATCATTTTAAAATATTCCATCAAAGAAACAGAAATATTTGGTGCACCATAAAGTAACAACCTATCGAAGATTGTAAAATTGTATGGACTGTGTGACGCGAGGGGGGAGGTATTTCAAGGGCGAATGTTACGGAGCAATAGAGAATTTTTGGGGCCGAATAATTCTTGTGCGAATATCTTTAAGGCGCGTTTTTTCGGAGCGAATACTCCAATGGTATATTTTTATTTTGTTTTTTTGGACAGGTGGGGAAATGCATTACGCACACTCCGGATAGAAGTCCGGAGTAGTGTGGGACTCTCCCATTATCTGGGTATACCCACTAAAACCCCACCTGAGGCTTCGGCATCTATGGCCATTAGCCTTTATACTTATACTAAGGTACTATGTATAATATCACAGTTTCTGAACACACAAAACAAGACAGGCGTGATTACATTTACTTATTTACTACACAAATATACATAAAGACAAAAATTTAAAAATATCACAGATGGTTTGCAATGCCAATTTGTTGGATGAACGCGAGAGTATTTTTACATTGCTCTTCATTTTTGAAGTTATTTTCCCATATCGGGTTTATATTAAATATCACACGTACATTCATATACTGCGGACAAATAGAAATAATGTGATGTGGTGTTAAATTAACACCACATTGTTCGCATAATGGCCGTTCTTCACCTGCCAACAAATACCCCTGAGTGAGAGCAGTATGCCCCAGACGGAGTCTGTACAGCCTGATCAAGTTCAAACGTCTAACGTCGATATAGAATAGCGGATCCAGACTAGGTTTGATCCTTTTCAAAGCCGTATCAGACTCCGACCACTGCTCACTCCACCGCTCATAGATTTTACTTTTCACAAGTCCACGCCGTGCAGTAGATGACATACTCGTGAAGTCAATATTCTCCAAATGGAGGTGGTTTAATACCTCTCTAGCCCTAACACCTAACGATCTACATCTGTATAGACGAGCAATGGTAGTCGCATCAGTAAGGGATCTAAAATTTGGATGTTTATCATCTAACCTTACTTTTATATAGTAGTTTGCAACAATCTGTTTCCGGCGAAGAGCTAGAGGGGGAATATTTGCCTCGACGTAGAGCGATGGAACTGGACTTGTTGGATATGCTCCCAAAGAATATCGAATAGCCAGGTTCTGAATCTTATCAAGTTCCCCAAGCAAAGCATTATTGCCACACGTAGAGTACGCTGCACATCCATAATCCATCCTTGATAGGATGAGGGCCTTATACATATCCAGTAGGGTCTGAGGGCGAGCTCCCCACCTATGATGAGCGAGAACTCTCATGATGTTCAGCGATTTTCTACATGTAGCAGTAACATTATTTAAATGCTTTGACCACCGTAATTCCCTGTCAAAGGTAAGCCCGAGAAACTTGACTTCCTGAACAACACTGATTACACGATCATTCATTAGTAGCACAGGATCATAGTGCGGTCTACGGAGTCGGCAAAAGTGGACAACCTTTGTCTTTTCCTCCGACAGCACAAACCCGACCGCATTGGCGTTACTACAGATTTTGTTTATGGCCACTTGTAGACTTCGAGTTATTGCACCGACCGTCTTAACAGAACAACAAACCATTAAATCATCAACATACAAACATTTATCAATCATCCCCTCAACACCTTTAGCTATTTCGTTTATGGCGATGCCAAACAGGGAACAGCTAAATGTTGACCCCTGCGGTACACCATTTTCTAAAACATACTCTTTTGAGTGGATGTCACCGATTCTTACAACAAACTTTCTGTTCTCTAGAAAGGATTGTATAAATTTTGGTAACTTCCCTCGAAGATTGTATTTATACATATTCTGCAATATTCCATATCACCAAGTCATGTCGTAAGCGCCCTTTATATCAAAGAAAACCGCAAGCAGGTGTTCACCACTGTCAAATGCACTCAGAATTCTATCGGTCAATTTGACCAAATGGTCAGCCGTTGCCCGTCCCTTCCGAAAACCCGTTTGATAAGGTACGTATATATTATTATCTTCAAGAAATGTTTGCAGCCGCACATTAACCATTTTCTCTAGCAGTTTTCCCAAGCAAGACGTTAAACTAATTGGGCGATAACTTTGTGCCAGCAACGGATCTTTTCCAGGTTTCGGTATAGGAATGACAACGGCCTGTTTCCATTCCGAGGGGTAAGTATGTTCATTCCAACAAATATTAAAGAAATCTAATACTTTGTTGCATTTCAGGAGTACAGTGATGAAACATCTGGTTGTGGATTTCGTCTTCTCCCGGTGAACATGACTTGGTGTTACGGATAGCGATATTCAACTCTTCTAAGGTAAACGGAGTATTATAATTTAAGTTTTCGTTAGTATCCAAAATAATAGGAATGGATTCTTTATGTTGTTTAGTGTGAAGAAATGTATCCGCATAATTTTTGGAGCTACTAACTTGGTAAAATTGGGTTGCTATGATATCCGATATATCCTCTGGTTTATTTGTGATTTGTCCCTCTGAATCTCGCAAGAAGGCCAGACTATTGCAACCAATTTTACCTGATACGGCTCCAACCTTTTTCCACACTTCCTTGCTAGTAGTGTCCGGTGTAATCGTGGACACGTATTGATTCCAGGAGCTCCTCTGTGCTTCCAGTATTTTTCGGCGACACTCCGAACGACGTTTCTTAAAAATTATTAAATTGTCCAACGTAGGATTACGTATAAATCTATATAAGGCTTGATTTTTTAATGATATTTTTTCTTTTATTTCAGACGACCACCACGGAACCATTTTTGTTTTATTGCCAGGTTTGGATTTTGGAATACTGGCGTTCGCAGCGTCTAATATAGCAGATGTAAGAGTTTTTAAACTTAAGCTATCTAGGGCTGGAGGGACGAGCTTACTTGCAAAAAGTTCCCAATCTGCTTGTGGGATCTTAAATCTAGCCACTGATCTTATCGAAGTTTAATTGTACACTCCTCGTATTTCGTATGAACCAGAATTCGAGAGTTGCGTCCTACCAATGGCGTTTCGGGTTTTGTGCAGGTGATTCTTGTGAATGCGAAGGTATACCATTGAAGTACTTTCGGGAGTGATATACCCTTTGTTGAATAAAATACTGATCGTTGACGAGAAAAATGCGTTCGCTTCAAACAGTGTGCTTCTTTCCGTAAACATCAGTTCCAGCTCTCAAGTACCAGGATCCGTTTTTAGCGCAACTGTCTGATCATCTGTCCGTCGTTCCTCGGTTGCTCAGTTTCTAGGCCTTGTGTCAATTTAGAGTTTTGGTTATATGAAAGTTTATGCATTCCAGATATGCAACTATTAAAAAATTAAAATCGATCGCGTTCTTTCCAAAAACCGGTCAAAATCCTTTAAAAGCAATTAAAATGCGACTTGAATTTCGAACAATGATGTGAAAGTACGCAAATATCAGATTGTATCAATTAATCTTTCAACCTCAACGCACATATGTCATTTGCTGAACTTACCTAAATAAAGGGGAATATAGTGCTGTTGATAAAACTGGCCGCGCACACTTCCACACGCGAATTATAATTTCAAATTTAAATTACAATTTATCCACGTTCAATTTAAAAAAAAAAACTCATGTCATTATTATTATTATTGTATATATACGCGAAATATCTACGTTACGCCTTAAAAATTGATATTTCAGGGAAGAGGCACAAAAGACGCAAAAATGAAGGAAAGTTTTTCTCTCCGTTTTTTTAAAATGGTTTTCTTTATATAAAAACGAGTTTTGATATACCTATGAAACTTGATGCCAATTTCATATTAACGTTTCTCTCTTCTATCTTTTCGTATCCAGAATACGAAATCAAATTAAAAGTTTTTTTCTCTCCGACACGATTTTATATTGATGTGCACAATAAGGCTTCACGTTGAATGCGGAAAGTGTAATGGAGTCGTCATTAATTCTTTACATTTATTCATTTATATTATCTGCGATTTTATGTGTGTTACGGCGAAAGAATTGTGATTTTTACATTTCGAGAAAGCGAAATTCGCCCCGGTTGCTGCAAGCAGATGAAAAATAATTAGTAGTCGAATGTATGAAGTAAATACGACTAGAGGTGTCTGAACCTGAGCATAAAGAACGTAAAATTTTAATTTACATAACAACATCACGTATAATTACTTAAGCCTAGTAAACCATCTGGAACTGTCTGCTTCTCTCTTTAGCTCTTCTTTTAATTAACAATATACAAATCAGCAACAACGCCAATAAAACAATAACCAGGCCCACCAACGTATACATTGCATGTCGATATCCCGAACCTACAACTGTTACCAATTTAGACCACCTTGGTGCATTACGAGCAGTTACCGTAAAAGTTTTGCAACTCCTTTGGCGACAACATGTCCTCTTGGTGTATCTCAAGCAGTTTGGGTAATAGCTGATTCCAAAACGTAACTCTTTGCGTAAGAGCGAAGTTTTCGTCACCATTAGGTTTGCTTTGTTCAATACTCAGATGGTCAATAAACCGTTCGTTGGAATTGTACCTCTTCCACGGATTGATTTGGTTCCCAGGTGTAGGATTCCTATAATGAATCGTTAGGTTGGGTCCGAGGTTGGGTCCCACTACTGCAATTAGTACCCGAAAGTAACGAAGTTCTTCCAAAGCTGCTTGACGTGCTGACTGAAGCGAAATTCTTTACTATTTAACCGCCTACGCGTAAGCTGGTTGAGCAACCATGGGCTAAACAAGAGCAGCAAGTCGGAGGTGATAGGTGCATCTACGGTTGGGTTTCGTTAATAGACGACTTGTCGAGGTCAAACTTACCGGTGGCGTTTAGAATGAAACCGGGATTTTCTAAGTCGTAGACGTAGATAGGCTGCGTGTAGGACTTCTGTAGATGTTGTAGCTGCAGGAAGTGCGGCGCTTCAATTTTAGATTCGTATTCAAGATTTTTTAGCTGTTGAAGTAGAAGTTTTACGTTTCGGTCGCTCGAAGTAATGTATCTCCATTTTATCGCCTCCAAAATTTGAGGGTAGTTTTTACCTTTCAGATGGTAACGTTTGGTAATTTCGGGAATTTTTGAGAGCTCCATGTACTGTTCCAGTTGCATGTAACCTTGTCCGGCAGATTGGGCCCATTGAACTGAAAAAGAGCGCGAATATTGAAAGGGCCTTTTCATTTTCATGTTAGCCATCATACCGTATTGAATGTCGACGATAGGCCGTGTTATTCCTGTTAATATAGGAACTTGTTTGAAAGTGCCATTTCTGAAGGCATGCTCCGGATGGGTAGGAAGATATCGGTCGTTTTCGTGAAGAAAAGTATCAATCACTGGAAGCAGCATACTGGTCACATTTCCGGACTGAAAGATGAAGTGGATTTGTAATAAATAATTTGGACTGGGATTGTTCGGAACACCGCAAGAGGAAAAGGGACAACGAAGAATTTAAATACAAATCAATGAGCGGGCATCTATCCGACTCGTAAATATTTTCAGTGAAAAATTAGATCAGAAAATGTAGACCGCATCATTCTCTGTGCTTAATATGTGGAACGACCGTTACATCTCTCTGCGTAATTGAGATTAATTGTTATTAGACTGTATTTTCAAATTAACGTATTTGCAACGCTCACATACGTGTATTATACAATTGAATCTAAAACAAAATGGAGGAATTTTCATATACTTTCCGCTCGACACACAGACTCTCCACTATCAACACACACGTTGTGGTTTATGCTCAACACTGCAGTTTGGGATTTTTCCAATTTCTGCATTTGTTCTTTCCCTTCGGTTATGGGGTATATCATATTACAGGTTTCTATTGAAAGGGTGGGTAAGGAATGGTGAGAGTTGATCTTGTAGTATTTATTTGCTGGCGCTGATGCAATTTCATTACAATGTATAATGTCTTGTGGAAAATGATGTTTATCATGCGTAAATAAAAGCTCAGGGTTGTAGGCACTAGGTTCTTATTAACTTCTTGTTCCCTTCCAAGAACTGTAAAACACCAACGGAATCCACAAATTGTAATTTGTAAAAATGATCGGCGTCAAACATAATTCTAGCACTTGTCCAATTTAAATTCGCTTCCGAAGTAAATATTTACACAAATTCCGTAACAAAATAAAAACTTACGACCTAAATGGAAATAAACTTCAATTAGACCCTTTACAATTTCGTTTTTAATGTCAAAAAATGAAGAAAAAAACGGAGATAAGTGAAAAACTGAGAGAATAAAATTACCTACCTCGCAATACTCCTCGTAAGCTTTTAAAATGTCCTGAGTGCTTTTCGATCGTAGGCACTGCAACATGCTGTGATAATAATTGTTTAAGCATCCTAGAATTTGGGCAATTTTCCACGATGCCGATTTGGCGTCCTTCGTTAGATGCCACGGCGAAAGTGCCGAACCTGATGACAGGATCGCACGCTGGAAGTATCCTGCAGAAAATAAAACACATATTCAGAGTGTTCGGTGTTGCCCATTTTCATTATAATGATTTTTTCAGTTTTGTTTCCTTTTTTATGTGCAGAGATTTACGCTCCGTCGAGCGTTACCCTTAATGTAAAAAGGTAATAAACGATCCTCATGTACTTTTTGCTACGTAGTTTTATTTTTACGCATTTAGGGAAGAAGTAAACGTAATGCTAATTGCAAGCTTGTTTCATTTTTAATAAAGTAGGGAAATGCTCAGAAACACGTATATATTGAACCCTATTCATAATAACATTACCTAACAATCCTTTAAGTTTACGTAAATATCAACAAATAGTACGAAATAGTTATTTACATATGAGTATGGTAAATCAAGGTTTACGTTAACGAGTGAGATGTTTACTGCCGAAGCGTAGCTGAGGCAGGAATTTCGAGACGAGTAACGTTAACTGATTTTACCCAAAATCGTCATGAAACCAGAGTTGGACTGGGTCACTGGGTCACTGGGTCAACTGGGTCACTAAATTAAACTGGGTCACTGGGTCGCTGGGTCACGTCATACTCTTTTCAGTTAGACCCAGTGACCCAGTTTGACCCAGTGACCCAATTTGACCCAGTTTGACCCTCGGTTTGACCCAGTGACCCAGTTTGACCCAGTGACCCAGTTTGACCCAGCGACGCAATTTCACCCGGGGACCCAATTCGACCCAGTCACCTAGTTTGATTGAATAACGCAGATAAGTCAGTGCCCTCGGTTCAAGTGTACAGATTATGCAATAAATGAAATGCTGGTTTGTTGAAAATAATACTCGATTGCTTGACAACTGCCATTTCTGTGATGTTTGCTTTAATACTGCCGTAAAAAACTTTCCATGTTCCGAATTGTATTAGAATAATGTTATTTCTTTGCTTCAGGGCTTACCAGTTTGCTTACAGGTGTTCATTCACATTTAATTTTTTCTACTAGTTAGCTTAATCCAAATAAATCTTTTCTGCAAATACTTTCATTGAATACTTGACTACAAACTATAAACAAATGCATTTGATTTTTTTAGGTATTAGTTCTCTTGAATGAAATTGGGCTACGTGCTTGTTGCCGAATATTATTGAGGAAGTTTTTTTTAAAATTAAAAGTTACTTGAAATTGTTTTGGATGATACCTAACAATAATTTAATTACTGGGCCACCGGGTCAAGACGGGTCACTGAGTAAAGCTCGGTCACGATGGGTCACTGGGTCAAACTGGGTCACCGGGTTAAGCTGGGTCACCGGGTCAGACTGGGTCACCGGGTCAAGCTGGGTCACCGGGTCAAGCTGGGTCACTGGGTCAAACTGGGTCAAGCTGGGTCACCGGGTCAAGCTGGGTCACCGGGTCAAACTGGGTCACCGGGTCAACTGGGTCACCGGGTCACTGGGTCAGTAAACTAACTGGGTCACCGGGTCACTGGGTCACTCTATGCTTGACCTAGTCCAACTCTGCATGAAACCTTCATTTTCATGCCTACTTTATGTCAGGAAAGTGTTAGTTTCCATGACGGAGGCAGACCAGTCTACTTTTCCTGCCGCCTGTCACTTTACCGGCCGCACTTGTCACTTTACCTGCCGCACCTGTCACATTGCAACGTTTATAATGACTCCTGTCATCACTGACAGATTGACATTAATCAAAAGTTCTATATAAAAATTGAAATTTTATGTTAAAGACGATTTCGGGTAAAATTTAATACAAAACTCGTCAGTAAAATGACATTACTTGACTCGGAAATTAAAGTACTCGGCCCCAAAGAGGCCTTGTACTTCAATATTTCCTCGCCAGTAACGTGTCATTTTCCTGACTTTTATGTAAATAACTATAACATACAAATAATGTAAAACATTTTATTTCATACTGCTCTATTTCTATTAAAATACCATTTTGATTAGAATGTTGTAGGTACACATTAAAATAAAAGCAAAAGTCGATCACTTGATTTGTTTGATCTGACAGTAGTTTGACAAATATCAATATCAATCAATCAATCAAATATCACGTTTAGATGGATGTCAGTTGCGGTTGCTAGGCAAAATTTCCAGTCTGGTAAAAATTTTCAGTCTGGTAAAATACGATTTACCAGACTCAAATCAGTCTGGGAAAGCGGCGATTACCAGATAGTATGAAATAAAAATTATTACCTCTCATAACTTGACAGTTTATTGGAAAATGGGAAACGTAAGAAATATTTGAGGTAAAATTTTAGCCAGTAAACTCACTTCAATAGGGAATATGCATGTGGTTTAAATTGACATGATTCTTTCTCCCGCGAATATTTATTGTCCTGGTATTACACTTAAACCATTACTTTCTTATTTAGTTTGTTTTTAATTGCAAAAAATGTTAATTCAAAAATGCAAAATAAGCGAAGGAAATTCAAATTTGCGAAACGCATCACTATTGGACGAATGAAAGTGACCTCAAATGCCACGCGATCGCATTTATTGTATCAATATTCATAAATACGTCCAGTCAAACTACGGTTTTGGGCATCGCAGATTATTGAAAAAGATGCGGGTTTTATTTTTCCAATTTTCCGTCTTTACATGAAAAAGATTGAAAACTAATACGGTGGATTGGTGTAAAAAAAAATTTTCTACAAAAAACTCTCACTGGCCTCCCTGACAACACCAGCAGATTAAATTCACTCCCTAATCCTTTTTGTAAGCAAATCCTGGGTTGGTCCTCCTCGTGCTCCGAATTTATCTTTAATAACCCTCGTGTGTGGATCTGTCGAGTATCTCTCACGAAAGGGAAATTTAATGGCGCCCTTATAAAATAATTTGACGACCATTTCCCGATAGCAACAATCATAGTAGATTTCAGGACAGGTTAAGCGATGCTTTCTGGAATACTCCCCATACCTGTACGTACAGGTACACATATAGGTATAGTGTTTCTTATTCATCGTTTCATACACTCTTTAGCGTTGGTTGAATTGTAAAGTTTGTCCATATAGTAAGTATATACATATCGTATTAGAACTTACCCGCGGTCCTTGACGAAATCAGATGTAAAGCAACACTTGCGGCACCGGCCGAATATCCAAAAATTGTGACCTTATCTGGATCTCCTCCAAAATGCTTAATATTTTCACGCACCCATACCATGGACATGTACTGATCGAGAAGCCCCATATTTCCTCTCACTTGAGACGACTCCAGACACAAGAAACCGAACACGTTAAGCCTATAATTAACGGTGACTACCACTACGTCCTCAATTGCCAGATCCTGTCCGGAAATTGGCGTACGGCCACCTTTGGCGAACTCATATCCATCAAAGAAAATAACGACCGGCAGCGGATATCTCGCCGTCTAAAGTGAAACGTTTAGGTAGGTAATTAGCTCGAGAAAGCTCCCAAAAATCGCACCTCTGGCGTCCATATATTGAGATATAAACAATTCTCGCTCTCATTAATTCCATCACGTAGCGGCAATTGCGGGCACGAAGGACCAAAAGTTAATGCTTGATAAGTAGAATTCCATCCATCATGTGGTTGTGGAGCCGTAAAACGTAATTTACCAAGCGGGGGCGTCGCGTAGGGCACACCAAGATAAGCATCTGCAATTCCACCCGAATCGGCGTACACTTTAATCTAAATTTCGTTTTAAGCGAAGGCTCTATAATTTTAATTGCGATACTTACGCCGACAAGGGGGCCCTGAGGTATACGGACGACGGGCCTACTCTCTTGCAGTGCAACCACAATTGACGCCCAAAAGACAATAATTATACAATCAAAGCACATTTTTCTGGTAGCAGCATCCGTATTGAAAACGGCGAGTGACTAACATGAATAGTAGCCGCATAGGTCGTAGGTATATCCGGCTTGTGGCACGCTCTTTGTTTTATATCCGGTCGATGTATTTATTTTGGACCAATTGTAGGTAATTATTTACATATCTATAGCTATGAACGTTAAAACCGAAAGCGGTGTTCACTAAATAAGGTTTATTCGACCGAAGAAGACCCGCGCGAAATTTATTTTTATTTAAACGTAAAAATCGCCTCCCTCATAATTCCAACCCACTAGATAGATCGACCTTTTGTATTAAAATCAACCCTTTTACTACAATTTTACGCTTTCAAGTCAGATACACGAACAAGGAACCGAGACAAACCCCATTAGTGCCAACTACGATAGTCATCAACAACAATTAGTGTTTGTTAAGAAGGGGGTGTTGTTTATCGTACGGAAAATGTACGTGATAAAAAATAAGCTCGTAAAATGGTTACGCGATTATAATTAAGGATTAGCATAAACTTTAAAAAAAGGTCGCAGTGTATAAAGCTTTTTTATTTTTTTGTTTTCGAGCTCTAAATTTTAAATGCGAACTCACCGGATTACGTCCTTTATAATTAATATCGCCTTAACAATAGTAATTTGTTACATCATAAGCGAAAGATGCTAACCGAATCTTCATCTACTGTTTAAGATTAAATCATTACTTTAGTTTTCGTGAAATTAAGAACTAACTTAGTGGTAAATGAAAATATTGGAACATCAAAATATGATCAGAATACGACATGTTGGTGGCGTTACCTTAACTCTAATAAACTAAAAACAATAAACACGCTTAGTTCATAATAAAATTAAATAAGATACAATTGGTATAAACAACAAACAAGTTAAATTTGCAGAATTCTGAGCTGATCTCAAATAGGATTTTAAATTTAGTAAAATTCATTTAATTACGTTTTTAGCCGTGAACACTGTCAAAACCATTCATTCCTGATTCTGAAACCTTGTACATTCCTAAGACGTTTGACTATTAATACTATTATTTTCCAGGCAACTCTTCAAAATTGAATAATTTGTTATTTTAGCCAAAACTCAAAGAAAACTATAGTGTATAGTGTTATTGTTATAGTCTATAACGCGTCCATTTTCTCCAGTTTTCATGTAGTCATTGAATAAAAAATTATAGTCTTTTAATCAATCTAAATGGATGTTTGCTTATAGATAAGTTAAACATGATCCATCAAAGAAATAAAAATATTTGGTGTGTCATAAACGTCACAAAATTGAAAATTGCTGCGCACTTGTATATTTTCTAAAAGATTACATAATTTGAAATCAGAATTGGGTTTTGTTTTTAGAATACAATTTAAGGGTTGCTTATAGACGATTTAAACATAATCTATCAAGGAAATAAAAATATTCCGTGTACCTACCCGGAAAGGTACAACCCCTGCAATTGGCGATTGCTATACATGTAAGTGGATAATTTTTCAAAAGATAAAATTGGAGTTTCAAAGCTTAATAAATTTTATTCATTTTTTGCATATATTTGAATCAGAATGAAGTCAGTATACCTAATAAGGGTGTGCATTCTTTTGTCTCCTTTTCCTCGTTTTCCTACTTTTTGGTACATATCGTTAAAATTACTAATGAAGGTTTTGGAAGTGACGCGGAATGAATCAATTGAACGACTATCCATCAAAATTTTCTCTGTTGAAAATAAATGGGTTTTGAGCGTTTGAACTAATAACAAGCGTTCAATAAATCTCAAACGTTAAGAAGTGGATACGTAAGGTAGACGTAATTTATCAATTAAGAAGAATGCGGAATTTTACGAATTGATTAATATAGGGCCACCGTGTGAAAAATTGTTTTGACGATTCGGTTTGTGAATCAATTCGTTTCAGAAGGCAGGGTGCAGATTAATACCGTTCCAATGTATCTAACATCGTAACTTATCTACGCACCCTCCTATTATTTTTCCACTCCAAAGTTTATTTACTCTCTCATAAATTCCTATCATATCTCCAACAATAACAACGTTATCGTCATTTATTCAAAGAAAAGCAACGAAACCGCCACCTACTACAAAATGCTAATTTTCTCCTCTGTTCTCTGTTGATTATTTCACTCACAAAACTTTACTATGGTCGTTGTGCGGCTTGGTATGACTCTCTTGCGAGTAATGCTTTATGATGTTCTTATTCATAAACATCAGAATAGGGACGTTAATTTAAGTAAAACGAGACCTTTTTTCTCTCCCTTCGCAACTTACTTCCAAGCTTGCGTTTTAATTTAGGTCGACGTTCCTTCCTTTTTGAGAATCGAATCTACGACTTGTGCCTATCCTACAAATTCCGATCACGAATTCTATCAGGAGGAATCTCGATTCCGGGAGTTTAGTTAGTGTATCACTCATATTGACTCCTTATTGAGTTGAGATTTTTCCTGCAATAGGTGATTTGTAACCAATCGGGGGATGAGACGATTTATCCCATTAAAAAAGCTTCGTAATCGAAAGTCTCTTAATTTATAGCAAGTAGCTGCGCTCTAAGTGGAAAGTTCGCTGACGTAAATATATGCTAGGCAAGGATAATATGGAAATTCCCTCTTTTAGGATAATTGCATTTAAATAAAAATATATTTAAATTCGTTTTTAAAAATTTAACTGATATTCGCTGAGGGACTGACCGTTTTCGTCCTTTTACACGCTTTTTCGCTCAAGTCATTACCATTTCTGCGTTATCGGTTCGTAATAGTACTTTTCTCGTTCTCTCAAGTACGATACTTAATTGGAAAACTTGATAAACGTTTTACGTACCAAATTGCGACATTTTGCGTGTTGTTCGAAGTAGTCTGTAAATGTCAACAACCTGAATGAGCTACAGTGTGATATGATTAAAAAAATTGCGCCGTATTTTCTCTTTTGAAGACGGTAACCTAGTTTTCCCAATTCCATCATTAACTTCCTAGCGGGAGCTAGCTGGGTATTGCCATCGCCGTTTGGTTAATATTTCATCAGATGTCGACGTTTTAGAGTTTACACTATTTTAAGCAACTTTTAAAGAATTTTTTTCCCGTCTGTATGTAGAGGTAAGTATATGTGTGAGAGAGGGTGTGTGTGTGTATACATGTAGGTACAAATACATGCGTTGGAAATTTTCCGAGATAAAGGCTGGACGGATTTTGTTCAACTTTGAGATAATGTCTGTTAGGCATACGGAAACGAAACATAACGGGTGGGATTTTTGAAAAAAATGCCGCAACGGCATCGAACTTTACAAATAGCAACCTAGAATGTTTTTTAAGTTATTCGAAAGACCTTATTTTCCTGTGTACAACCTACAAAAAATGTGCCAGGTTTTATTACAACAAAATGGAGAAAAAAAGTTGTCAAAGTTAAAAAACAATAGTTATTTCTTATACAAGGGAAAAAAGTATTAGATTTTAGCTCGAGAGCCAAACCGAGAGCTAAAATCTAACATTTTTCACTAGTTTTTTCTGTGACGGGGAAAACGATATATTCAAGTCGTATCGATTTATAGAAATTTGAAGTTTTAAACTGCACATAGGCTGTTGTGCTTATTCTCGCGACAATACGAACTGCGTTGATAAGGAAACCTTTACTCAAATATCTGTCAATTCAGTTTTGACATTTTATTTAAACATTTCAAACTTAATGATTGTTTAATAGTTGAAATAAATTGAAATAAAAGACTAAGGATGGAGGGTTACATACATAAAACATAGGTACGCTTGTTGGGACCCAATTAGGCTTCTCAATATGCCTATGTTTCATTTTATTACTTAAATACAAGTACACGTTGAGTAATGTATGTAGAATGTTTGTATTTTAATGTTGATAGCGTTTTAGGTAAAAAATATTCATTTAAAGTTGTCAATTTCAAATTCATGCCAAAACGTTCAGTTAGCCAATCATCGCGCGCTGACGTCTACAGGGTAAATTTTAATTATTGCGGTTACTATCAATACATACGAATTCGCCTTTTCCAGGTTTTGATAAGTAATATGGAACAAGTAAATATAAATCTTGTTTTGTACCATTTTGTGTGCCGAAAACTAAGGTTTAAATAAAACGATGGTTTAAAGCTGCTCGATGAGAGAATCCTCCGAAAAGTACAACTGTATTTTTTTGTTTAAAGGATCATTTTAATGTAAGTATTTTGTTTAATTCGTTTATTTATTATTTGCATCATCGTAAGCCTTCTTTAAAACATCCTGCAGTGTGTTTAATTGCAATATTAAAAAGTGCGCATTTTTAAAAAGTTGCTATGGACAAGAACGTCATATACAGAAATGACTGATTTCGGTACTTCAAACATGACAAAGCTGCAACGATTACTTACCAAATATCAAAGCGCAAAATTTCAAATTTTGAGAGCTATTAGGGTCTTAAAATACATCAACAACAAAAAATAGCGTAAAGTATGCGTGGATAACTGGTCTGTAAAACACTTGTCGTATTTGATAAGCATACCGGCTGCGCCCGCGCCGTCGGCGTCGGTTGTGAAGGAAATATCGCACGTTTTAAAGACCTTCATATATCTACTTATGCATACTATTATGAACCCATAATCCATGATTTTAAGTAACACGTGTTTCAACTACCTTTTTAAAGTTTCTAATGGTCGAATAAAGCGAAAACATGGAAATCCGCACGTCAAATTTTCCCTAATGACGTCAGAGTGCTAATCGCGCCTTTTCCGAGCGTTTCAAAATTGCTCAAATGTAAAAGTATACGTACTTTGTATACGTGCGTGATAAGCAGTTTTCATTACATTTAAGGACCCATTGTTTCGTAATTTCCTTAATAAAAAAAGTTATTTATTAATTTTTTTAATTAGAGTAGTAAGTAGGTACACTGCATATGAAAATTAAGCTGTGGATATATTATACAGCCCAAGAGGAACATGTCCATTGTTACAAGATAGGTACTCTTCGTCGTCGTTATTATTTCAAATTTGAGACATGCAAGCGTGCCGCCTCGCTCCTCGTTCCATCATTTCAATCGCGGCGTTTGTAATTGATTTTCAAAATTGAAGCATTTCGTTTAATACAGCAATGTCAAGATTCTGCCTCAATTAGAAGCGAATATTTCAATACGGAATGTGCGGGGACCAACTTAATTAAAAATAACTCGATTGTGACACTACGAACACGCGTATAATTAATTAACCTTATTGAAATGTGAAAATTTATTTCTGACGGGGAAAGCGAGAACAGATTGTTTTCGAATGATTAAAGACGATATACCTATCGGAAAGGAATGAGGAGAATTTAAATTATAAGACATTTGGAATTGGAGGGCGATCGCCAGGGAGTATATAATTACGTGCTGGGATGCACAAGTGTAGTAATTATAAAAGGTGCACCTTGTAATTGAACCATCTTGTGGATTTTCTGTAACTGTCTGTCTGAAAAAATGTTACATTTGGAATTGTGTAACAGTTTGCGCACTTTCGTCATTCTGAATAGGTTAGAATTAGACCACTAGCACATAGTATAAGTGCCTGAAATCGTTAACACAATTATTGTTCCATTAATTGTAACTGCTACTGCAAAATAGCTTCATCTCGCCAGGAAAAAGTTCATAACTTCAGGGAACCAGAATGAAACGAGCCACAACGCGGTGCTGGTGGAGACACGAGCGCAGTAAACAGCATATAATTACAATAAAAGCGTATTCCTTCTGCAGCAATTGAAGGTGTGAGAACGACTCGCAAAATTGGGTTTAAGTTAAGTATTTGGAAATTAGTCTAAGGGGACAAAGGGCATTGATCGGTTCCTAACATTAACTGCAAAACTGCTATATTCTTAAATGTTTGTGATCTCAAAATCGAAAAACTGCATAAGGGCTAGAACTGTGGGTTAGCTAATAGCTAACAAAATGTAATTGACCCTTAACCCACTACGTTAGTAAATTTGAAAGGAGATTTGAACCCGTAAAATTTGGAAGGGAAGTGCTTGGTCAACTGCAGGCGTAAAATTTATTAAGTTTCAACGATAAGAAAAAAGTACGATTATAGGAAATTATAAGTAAGTAGTGCGTTATGTACGCTGAGATAAAATTCTTTCTGGCAGTTTTAATCGACACGCGCCGGTTGCAAAAAGGTTGAAAATTCATTTTCCATAAGGAGCTGACAAGACGCATAGCACATCCGTATAAATTAATGGCCTCAAAAAATGCAACGTGTATTTTGTTACAAACGTTTCAACACACGTCAAAATCAGAATGCGGTTTGGAATAGAAAGATAAAATAAGACAATAAGTAAAAGTTTTCAATTTCAACGGTATTAAAGCAATTTAAAATAAACGTAGGAAAACCATTTTAGGAGAATAGGATGGGAAAAGGCGTAATAAGATGTCGAGTTACATTTGTGACGTACTTTAACCATTTTGATGTGAGGGGAAAATCGCACTGTCTCGCACGGCGCGGATCTCTCACATTAATATTTAAATTGAATACGGCAAGGCGTACTAAATGCATTTGTCAATTGCAGCTTATCGTTTGTTACATTTCTACGTTTAGTGCTTGTGAAAATATTACTTTGTAGGAACACGTTGGCAAGTAAACAATACAAGGAGGTGGAAGTTGAATGAAACACCTGGCACAAATTCGGAATTTAATTTCTGTGGCGGTAACGAAGTATTTTACCCAACATTCTGCCTTTAGTTTACCGTTATTATTACAGTAAGATCGTAAATGTACCTAGTTAGAATTCGGCGATTCTCTCTACTCGTGTTGGATCTAATTACCTATCTCAAAGGGCCACATTTTGTTTGTCAACGCGCGCTCGAATGTTGCGACGATTGTTTTTTTGGGCCGTATTGGGCAATCGATTTCTAAGAGCAGGTGTTTTATTGCTGTAGCGTTGAGTTGACTACGTTAGCAGCTCGCAGATGCTTTTGCTGGAAGTAATTTACGTCCAAACTCGCATTTGTTATAGTTAACTTTCCTTAAACACTTGTTAACAAGCATAAATTAACTGAAAGTTACCTCATAAATTCTCCCTAACTGAAAAGCGACAAAAATCGTCGATAGCTCGACGGAAAAAAAGAGAAAAAAGTGCCTTGACCTGTTGAACTTTTGAGTTTTAAACTTTTCCCCAGGGTGATTTTTTTTTAGCTCACGTGCGGGAAACTACTCATTTGACAAAATCAACGATTCATTCATTCCCGGATTTACTTCCAGAACTTTTTTCTGTTTTCCCATGTGGCATTGTAAATACAAGAAACAATGATGTTCAGAAACTGACGCTTGTTAATTAACTTTATGATGAGATTAGTCTGGTGGAATGTCAGGAAAGGGATTAATTTATTACGTATAGTTATTGTAGAAGATCGAAGACAAGTGAATTAACTTTTCTCCGCTAGTTCGCCTGACGGCCGTATCATTTTTATTTGTTAGACTTAGACGTTAGTGTAAATGTATCCGAGACACATTTATTGAACTGTCACTGTTGATAATGTGATTTCATAAGAGAAATAGCTTCAGCTTAATAATTGAATTGCCATTTTGTTATTCCCCTTTCGTATTACTTACGAAAAGGAAAATAAACTGTCAGATTGTAAGTTGTGTGTGTTTGTTTTATTAAATGTGATCCTTACTGTAGGTACAAAGGATCAATATCTCTCCCACAGATTTAATTACTTGATGATGATTCATGATTTAATTTAAGTCGGACTTTCAATGTTAGAATCGTTATTTTAGCACATTTTGTAAATGTAGGTAAGTACTACATAACATATGGTTAATATTCTGACTTGTATCGTATCACATGTTTGGGATCGATTGGAGGTTTAATTCTACATTAAAGCTTTAAAGCGCTTACGGTTTAACAAAGTTGAAAAACTTTTTTTAACACGAGTTCGAATTTCGATATATATATTTACCAATTCCAGATCTGTTTTAATGCAGATTCACTTAATGAAAGTCAAATATGTAGTCCCATTTTCAGTTTATATTTTGATTGTTCGTCCTGCGTACTAATTCAGAACGCATCGATTAACCTGAACGACCTGGTTTGTAGCGGGAAATTTAGGAGGAATCACGTAGGTACGTCTTAAACAATCTAATTACGAACCGTAGTCGTACTTCCATTTCTTAGATCTTACACGTAAGTTTCGGCAACTTCCGTTACGGTCAACTCACAAACACACTCGCCTAACGGAAGCCCGGAGTTATATATGACGGACCTTTTCCCATTTTTACCACCGCAAAGCGTCGGTTTCTCATAACAATAACAAACAAAATTAAATTAACGCATCGCTTAATTCTTTCATTTACTAAACGTAAATGATAATCACGCGAGCGCGCCAAAATATTTTGAAACACCCCGA